TGCTGTCGTTGTTGCCGTTGTCACTGCTGCTGTTGCTGCCATCGTTGTTAAGATTTTAACCATCGTAACAACAACATCCGATGATCGTCTATCAGATTTAAACCTGTTCCTTTTCTTGTATGCGTTTATTTGTGTTTGTATCTTTAGACTTGACCTCGTTTCCGCTTTGCAACAACCTTAGACCAATTCAAGGTAAAGTTTATGTGTAATCTTTTTGAAAAAGACTATTAATGGATGTAAAATTGCAGAAACCGATGAATTATACTTATTTCAATGTAGATCAATTCAGGTTTTATCAGCGTGGAGGGAGGAGGGAGGATAACTGGAAGTGGGGTAGTGAATATAGGTCGTATGTATTCAGACGTGTATTTCTTTCTTTGTCTTCCTCTAATTAATCAATCAAAGTAGTAATTACGTGTAATTTTCTGGATATTTGTCTGCCTTCGTAGAATTTACGAGAATAGTCATCATCATCGTTACCGCCATAATTATCGCTATGAACCAACACCACCAACAAGGCAGCAACAGCAACAAAATAAAGAGGTCAGTAAAAAAAGAAATTTAACGAAAGGTTAAAGATTAAAAAAATTGGTTGCTGTTTAATGCCAGTTGGAAAGAAGAAAATCTTATACTAATGGCATTTTGATTAGATGGATCTTTGTCAATTGAAGATTTTGAGAGAACTGTTTATTTGAGGCTGTTATTTCCTTGAATTTTTTTTAGACAGTGTTTCTATTATGTTGACATATAGATCTTTATGTAGTTTTACTTACATCTTTTTTTTCTTCTTAAGAACAGCGGTAGCGAACTGTGCATTACCTACAACGGCTGTATTTTGATGTTGTCGTCATCATCATCATCTTCATCACCATAATCACCGACGTCGTCATCGTCATCGTCATCGCTGGCATCGTTGTAGTTGTTGTCATCTTTGTCATCATCATCGACATTGTCACCATTACTGCCATTGTTATTGTCATCGTTATCATTATTTATCACAAAACATAATTTGGTTCTAGCTTAGTCCTTTTGCTTCCTTTTTCCCTTCCATGGTAAAACAACTGATACTTGACTTCCTGAGATAAATTACTTGATACCAAGAATAAACTAAATTTTCTGCTGTTCTTAATTGTTGCCTTGTTGCTATTTTCTTCGTTTGAAATTGGAGGTTTTTACGTAAAAGTAGAAGTGCAATTAAAAGCAGAATATTAGGAAAGAAATACTGAAAACAATTAGTGTACTACTTAGTCGTTCTATTCAAGCAGCGAGTTATTGTTGCGCACTAGAAAGCTATTGATTTGAAATATTCCGTTTGACTCCTACATATTTTTAATTGTAACCAAATTACTTCTACTGAGGAATTACCTCAAAAAGGAGCAGGAGAGCCATTATTATAAAATTTGGATGCTTTAGCAATAAAATTTGTAACAGTTATACAAACTGAATGACTGAACATTAACCTCCGTAAGCAAAGAGCGATATCGATATACAAAAAACCAATTCTTTTTCCGCTCGTAATTTTATTCACTGTATATACAGATGTTTGATTATAATTCATATACATATACTGTATATAAACATATTTTCTTTTTATTCTGGTTTGTACTTCTTTTTGTTAATTTGTTTTATTCTGATTTCTAT